ATATTGCATATACATATACATACACATATATACATACATGCATACACCAATTGTTTAAACTTGAGCATTCGAAGTCGTTAGATCATGCGTATACACACACACATGCATATATGTATATATATATAACCCATACACATGTTTACCTAGATCCTAGACACCCATACACACACCCCTACATGTATACCGTGGATGTATCTATGAACGGTCTAGCCGCCGAATCATCTCTGATCTCACCATCATTATCATCATCATCATCATCAAATCGAACTGCTACCTTTCTGTAATAACCCTCATGATATCATATATGCAAAGCTACAAGCCCTCGTATCAAAACACCTGCAACCAAGAAGCCGTAAGCCCTGCATAAACCTCCCACACATCCATCTCTTAGCCAAGGAGCAATGAAGTGGACCTGGAGGCAGACAGCAACCATCAGCAAGAGAGCCGTCCTGCTGGCAGCAAGGATCTGGAGTAGTTAGCAGGCAGCATAATTTTCGATTCGGATGGATATCGCGAAGGGTTTATGGGTATTTAGAAATTGAGATTTAGGGTTCAGGGTTGCGAGGTTCCCGGTTTGCACCATTTTGCAACTAGTGTAGTGTGGCTGTAGTGTCCTTTGCGCTATGAGATTTCCCGTAGCCACCATCCGTCGAGATGTGTCCCCACGCACACCAAATCTAGGATGGCCACGGCGATGAATCGAGCTTGACATAAACACCCACCTCAGCTAATATTGAAAGCCGAAGTATCTACTGTACACCTATCTAGATATCTAAACACTAGCTAAAAAAAAGCTAATTATAACATTAATTGCATGATAGGCAAGGCACGAAGAACATGGGACGCCACACCATACCAACCCATTTTCTCTCACTCTCATGACACTCAGAAGTGCGTGCATGAAGCCGCTTATCTGTGTAATGTCATGACAACGTACACCATCTGCCGAAGCCAGTAGGATGTCGTAAGGCTGTGCCCGGTAGCCTCTGGATCCTTATTGAACAAATTTAAAGTAATTATTGCCAGACCACACACACATGTACGGGACAGCTCACGATTGGTCTTAGCAAAGGCTCTGAAGGCATGGGTCATCCGGCAAGATCCGGCAAACAGCTCAACCATGGCGTAGTCCTGATGATGGATGGACAGCGGGCTACAAATCACCACCACTGGCAGTAACATAACATGCTGCTAGCACTCGAACTCGAAAACATCGATCGTGCTGCAAGTGGCCCGCCGCCACGGCTGACAATCAGGATGCCAATGCCCAATAATATTGAGCTGGATGATGTAGTCCATCGCAGCAAGCCTTGGACAGGTATTTGGAAGAGCCGTAGGTTTTTAGTACTAGCCGAAGGGGAGCATTGCCTGTGGCCTCTATGCATTGCTGGAAATTTGCTTGAAGAAACTAGGGAGCCTAGCAGCAGGGTGATCGGAGCTCCCATTGCGAGGAGCACGGCATATCTTCGCCCAGAGAACGAAACAATAGGGGCCAGAGGAGGCGCCATGCTTCCGCAAGTTTAGAAAGACGACTCTGCAGCTACGGGCCTAGGCCTGGAATCCCCCGAAATCCAACGATGCTCCTAAATCAAGACGTGTATACATTTATATGTGCGCATGCTAGAGCCCGCGACAAAAGACTTCGAAGGCATGTGCTGTCCATACCGTAGCACCAGACATTAAAGTGTGCACAAGCAGGAACCGCTTTCTGCATCGTGGCCCGAAATTCAAGCTTCTAGGAACCCTCCTGGCCGTCCGGAGTCCAAATGATATATATATATATATGCCGATCCAAGGCAGCGTGCCATTGTCCCGCCGATGCTGCTCTCCAAAATTCGGGTACTTGGCATTCTCAGAGTCGCTCCTGGCACAGGTTGGTTTCCTTATAGACCCTAAACCCTAAACCCTAATAAGCTTTCGGGGTTGGAGGTGTAGTCCAGGTTCGATTATTTGTAGCACTGCATGGGGCATTTCTCTGCCCACTGTGGGTGGGAGTACGGGGGCTACGTGGGTGCTCATATCTAGGCCTAGGCCGATAGATATTTTGAGCACTTGGGCATGCACAGGGTACGAGGTCTAGAACGTTTAGACAGTATCAGACCGAGGTAGATCGTATACAAACTAACAATATATATGTATATATAATTATGTATAAAATATATATATATATATATATCTATCTATCTGTATATATATATATAAATACTTATTATAAATATTGATGCATGGGGAGTGCTATTTTGTGTGCTTGAACTTATAAATTGCTACATCTGATACAATATTAGTAGCCTGGGACGACGAGTTTGTGTTGGGATTCGTTGTGGGGTACAGGCTTGCGGCTTGAGGTTAGTACATATATATGTACATGTTACTTTCCCATGAAGCCACATGTATAGGCCCCAAAATTGCTAAATAGATAGGCTTGGAGTAGACACTCGCTATCAAATCGAACAAAGCACCCTTAATTTCGCACATTTTTGGGAATATTATGTAGACAAGAAGCACTTCTTCTTGGAATTCGAAGAATCCGGATTCTCGTCGGGCCACCCTGCGAGCTTCTTAGCCGTAACCCAGGCCCGAGCCCAGTCATCACCCAGCTTGCGGACCGAGAGTGTGATCCCGTCTTTCTTGTTGACGTTGAAGCTGCGACCGCCGGCTTCACAGGTGATGGCCTTGTTCACGTACAGCTGCCAGGTCGCCCACCTGGGATGCTGCTAGAACCCTAGATCTAGAAGAACCCGGCCAGACCCCCGAAGAACAAGAACAGCGTGAGCCAACAAGCTGCAATCTTGAGCGACAAATGAAGTCGAACCTAAGCTAAGGTACAGGACGCCGATGCTGCCGCACTCATCGGAGGCGTTGTCGGGCTTGGGAACTGTATAGCTTTTTTTGTCCCCCTTGAACTCCGGTGGCACAGGCACACCACCATCAAGCATGTATGGCACCTCAAATAAAAATTGCAAGCTCAAGCTTGTACGTGTGCGCGCAATAACCTAGAGTTGCATGTACTTTAAAGACAAAGCGCCGTGGCAGACCAATCCCCCTGGGCCTGGGCAACTCCTGCACCTCCCTGCGCCGCCGGCTGCGCGGCTTCCTGCGGCTCCTCGGCCGCATTTGCTGCAGCCTTGGCCTTCGCCTTTGACTTGGCTTTGCTCTTCGGTGCCCGCCCTGCTCACATGCCCGCCGTCGACAAGTAACGTGTTCAACCAAGCATGGCTCTGCACATGCGGGTTTTGGGTTTAGGGTTCATAGGATTTATATGTACATCCCGACTGTGCGCCTGCTGGTGGAGCCTTATTAGCCTTAGCCTCTGCAGAAGCTTCCCGTGCTGCTGCAGCAACCTCAGATGCAGCAGGTAGCCTATACTGCACACGACCGGCAACAGTTCGAGATCTAGCAGACTCTAGATGAATGCACGCTAGCGTCTTTGCGCTGGGCTTCTACCAAATCGGAATCATTATCGGCCGGGACCGACTGGGCACTCAAAACCATCGCTTCCAGGGTTGCCGGGATCTCAACCGGCTCATGCGGCTGAATGGGTTTGCGCTTGCTCTCCTGATCACTAGCCACGCACACATTACAGATTAAGTGCATGTACACTGAATCCCAGGCGGCACCTGGGCAGCTTGGCGCCGGTCCTCCGGCAACTTTGCCGAAGGCTGGTCGTACTCGATTTCCATGGGCTGCGTCTCCAGTGTGCTAGGGTCTACCAAAGGGCCCTTGACCTCGAGCAGGGCATGTTAATCATCGATGGATCACGATATGACTCATGCATCATGATGTCAGTGCAGTCGAGCGCACTGGCACGGCGGGTGGGGGCATCATATTCTCTTCTCGGGCCGGCTTCACCTAGGATGTTATGCTTGCGCGCACACATACACCATGCAGATTAAGTTGCGATCGAGTGCACTTCCTCGGAGGGTGGGCAGATCAGCGTCGCATCTTGCTCCTGCTCGTGCGCATGTTGAGGGTATTCTGCAGGCGATGGGGACTCTAACGGTATAATATCGTATAGGGACCAGCCTTCGGCACAAGCAGTTGCGAGTCTTCCTGTGATGGCATGTACACATGACAGCAAGTCGAACACCTGATAGGCTAGTCGAATCCAAAATTTGCAACTGTTCTTGTGATCCTGCTGTCGAGAAGCATTCACATCTACCTCCATAGCCACGTCGGAGTCTTCGCCGATAGACTCCATCGATGCGGCGAGGCTTTCCTGGCCAATGGGCGGGCGCTCTGAGTGCGGCTTATAGGGTTTGGGTTTGGGGGTTGGTGGTTTTTGGACATTTGAAAAACCCCTTTTGAACCCTTATGCCCTAGAAGCCCTAAAGTGTCAGGGTTGCGATACACTCAGCCCTGACAAAACCTCGATCCAATCGGGCTAAAGTACATGCATGTTTTTTTATGAGCACATCTGTGTACGGATTTGTGGCTAGCCGACTAACGTTTAGGGTGGGGATGATTTCTCCGTTTCACACACGATCGCATGTCGCATCCCAGGCGAAATAAAGGACAACACAAGAGGCGGGAGCCTGGTCGTCCTCCAAGCTGCCAAGTGCATCCTCAATCGCCAAGTCGGGGTCATCGGGTTTCGTACCAGCACCTCAACCGGCCCAAACCGTCGTGAAATATTCAATATTACGTAATAAGGTACATGGAGAGCTAGTACTGCTGTCAGTGTGCCAGTCTGGATAGTCGCACGGACTACCTCCTTCAAGGTCATGATCTTTGCGCTCCTGTTCGAAGTCGTGTTTCGCATATTATTAATACAGTACAACTGCAAGCTCCTTGCTCCCTTGCTACGTCGGGTGAGTGTGAGCGCATGAATCGCACCGCCGCGGATCGTCGCCGCCTGGAGGGACGCCCATTCCTTAGTACTAATATTAATTATAATATTTATTTTTTTAAATAAATAAATAAATATAAATATATACATATATATATAGCACTAGTACTGAACAGATCGGCAAAGTCTCGCGAAGTGCTTTGCGCTTGGGCTTCGGGCCCAATATCGCATATCTCATCCCCAAGACCATGATCACTTCCTAGTTCGGCGCAATCTCCACAGATAGAGTCATTAAGGCTAGCTGATGTTGTCTGCCTGGTGCACAGAAAACAATGGGATGCAGCCGGCTAAGCTCGCGAGGTACTCCATGTAGAAATCCAGATGATACTCTACCTGCAGAGATCGTTGATGCTGCTATCGGTGCTATCGTTCAGTGATAACGGCTTAAGATGCACACCATGGCACCATGTCGGCAGAGCTCACCCCGTCCGGCACGATCTTCAAGATCTCCTGCACATGTACAGGCTCTAAATAATAGAAGCTAGAAATTTAAATTATAAATATATGTAGTTGGGGGACCCTCATGCTTCGCTTCGAAAAATCGAATTTGGCGGATATCATATAAGCCTTGCTGTACAGAATCCGAAACTTAACACGGCCCTCCATCCCTAACCTGACACTCTCAGCCTCAAATCCTCACGCACCACTGCCAACACTTCCAAACTCGAAAGCCAACCGAAAGGAACATCAGCTCTTAGACCCACATACAAACAGCTTTTTTCAAAAAAACTAGCTCAGATTGCCCAATACCCTAAATTGGGCTCAAACCGGCTCACTGATAAGTGTGCGACGGAGTTCGAAAGAACCCTGGCCTTCGAGTTCCTCTGGCGAATTCTGTTCAGCCTGTCCGGCTCCGCCGTGAGGTAGGAATTCAGGATATCCTGGAGCCAGGCTATTAAGGCACGGGAGCTTGCTCGAGAGATATATAGATCGTCTGCTTGGGGGGCCTCGAGCAAAATCTTGGAGACTCGGCGCTCCATCTGCTTCTGCTCAACCGACGACATGGATCAAACCTTGGTTGCAGTGTACACGACGTGCACCCAGCGATCTAGCTAGCAGCACGGCACGCACTAAGCTGCATCCAAGCAGCTGGCCCTGATCGAACCGAACGCCGTGGGACTTCAGGTCCCAAGGAGAAATATTCAAAACTAACTTCATTGGATCCGAAATGTGCGCATGCCCTCGCTTGCAATGCTTGAAGTGCATGCGCTACTCATGCTACGAGCAATGGGGGGGGAAGCACCGGAAACAGCCCACGCACTATCCGTGATATCATCACGCTCATCGCCATCGCAGTTCGCCAGGCTCGAGAGGTAGTGCTCTCGGCTTCGACTTCGGGAGCGAGCTCGAGGATGTTCTGGAACAAAGTGTCCTCGGGCCATCGATGGTCACCCACACGGGATCATATATGCTATGTGCAACGATCCTATCCGGTTTAATGTCTGCAGAGTCACGGCGGTATGCGTTGCGAAGCATGGGCCGGCCCAGATGCACAGGGCCCGACAGACCCACACCATGGACCGATATATGCGCATGCTGTATACTGATCCCGTGTTTTTGTACACGAACGATCTACCGCACATGTCAGACTTGATTTTGAATGCTATATCGCAGCCCCACAGCTGCACAGCATCGGCGATGCAATGTCACATCTCCACTACCCCCTTGAGCCTTTCGAGGCCGACCCGTCTCATGCACAGCACGTGCATGCACTTGCACCATGCCCTGTGGCACAATCACATTATGCCATATATAATAATTAATATAGGGCAGCTTAGGGTACATCACCCCATAACCCTCTATTTTTTTGTTTTCACTCACGATCAGTCATGGTCCGGGGGCATGCAAGGATAACTGGTCACAGTTTCCATTGATATGGCACCTTTACAGGTCATGACTTCCATTGATATGGCAACGTTAGCAAAAATTGGCAACACGTGATACGTCAGCCCAGCTCGACAACATGGCAATGTTACCACTATTTGCTGACACGGACGCCCTGGGGATGCAAACTGTCCCATCTCCATTCG